CCCTTTCCTCCCGCACCGCCTTCTCCTGTTCATGAATTATGCAAAGTACTTTCCGCTCGTATTATCTTCAGCTATTCCCTGCAGCTTGTTCCCATCGTTGGCCATAGGAGAAAGCGCGGCAAATTGTTCCAGGCAATAAGAGAACGGCGTAACAATGTTACTTTTCGTGAATAACGTTCAAGCGAAAATTTTTAAAGGCGTTAAACATGCTAATTGTCGTGATGGATAGAAGCATTTGCAAATTCGTCGTTAATCTCCGATCCTTCCGACAATATTTCTCGACGAAGGGAAAAATTATGGGGAAGAATTTATAGCTCGGTAATGTTCGAGCTTAGAGTACTAAAGTACTCGAACTTGAACTAGTAAAGTTTCGGATAACCGAGTGCTCGAGCATAGTACACCCTCTTCGAAGACGTACAGCGAGGGGTGCTGTTACCCTCGACGAGTTTTTTCATTTCATCCAGGAACAAGTGGACAGGTCGAAGCTTTCACGGTGGCACGTTTCAATACTTCTCTCCGAGAACAATCGAATGAAACTATACGATTAGTTTTATGGTTTGTCCTGTCTGAGCATGCCATAATCGAGAAGAGAGACTCTGAGAATCGTACATGTCTAACTTTTAATGGAATCTACGCGTTTCGCTTTGTTTTCCAACAGCTCCAGACATCGACCAAATAATTACACATTGTTCGTGACTTTTTTAGGCCACGTTCCTTCGCGTACAATCGCGTCGTAAAGATAGGATCAGTGATGGGTAGACAGAATCGAATTATTGCCGGATACGTTCCAACGACCTGGGTTCAAATAATTAATTTATGGAAAGCGCGATCGTCGAGAGCCGGAGAAGAATATAAACTCGTCGCTTGGGATGGGAAACGTTTTATTGTAGATCGGTCTACGGATATCGCTACGCGTTATACTGCAATGCGGACGCATTTCGACGCGTTCTAATATCGCCACGCATCGTATTTCAACGCGTCACGTATCACCGCGTCCTATATCGCCATACGCCACCACGCATCGTAGCGTATGTCTGTCAGTCGCAAATCGAATCGATTGCACGGAAACCGTCACAGTGTAAAAGAACTAAATTTTATATATATCTACTAAATATATGTATTGCCGGTAGCGAAAGTTCATATGTTCGTTAACGAAACGATCGCGACGCTATGCACAGCTAAAAAGCAGGGAAGTCCGTTTCTAACAGCAGCCGTACACGGCCCGTATAAATTATTCTGGTCCGACGTAAACATTAAACAAGCATCGTTTATACGTTCGCTCGACAAGGGACCTCGAGAAGGAAAGAAAGAAAGAAAGTTCTACTTTTACCGTGCAGTTCCTTTTACTCCAACCGAGCTTTCAAACCACAGTTAAATTCTGTTGCGTCAATAATTCGTATCTTAATTTCGATCTAAACTAAAGGGGAAATCAAAAATAAATATCGTATAAAAAAATAATTAGGCGATCTTGATGATACATTATAGCTTTCAAAATCTATAATAAATAGTTCGCGTTACAAAGGTGTGATTAATGGAACTATAATTACTTTGCGAGAAATAGGTGTTGCTCATTCTTATTAATTTATTTGTATTTAGACCACTCTGTAATGTTATAGGAAGTCTGGATACGAAAGAGGATGTTTTTCCAAAAATTTACGAAAATAATGAAAAATAAAAAATATATTTAATTGATTTACGTAATTTAATTGGTTTCACCGCAGAAAGCAATGAATCGTCGAGTTGTTGAAAGTGGAAAGCAATTTGGTCATACACCACCTTACGTACATTTTACCACTTCGTCTTATTTTTGTCCCAGTTACTCAACAGTGTGAATGATTTATGCTCTCAAAATAGATTCGCAGGAAAGTCATTCTTTCCGTGTATATAAAATTCATTTTCCTGAACGAACATTGGTTAAAACAAAAATTGCTTAAAGACAAAATAATGCTTGCAATTATTATGCTAAAAAAAGTAAACACCCGATACGTGTTTTCTTTTTTGGGATCGACCGTGTTAAAAAGGTAAGATAATTAAAGTCTCGAAACGGTCGACCGAAAGCAAGGTATGTCTCGTTATATTGGACGGCTCGAAATTGCGATCGAAATAAACGATATAATCTGCAAATAACTTCGCTTTCTTAAAGATTACGTAATATTCATCCTTATGTCCTACTTACCATGCATTGCGAAAGTCTAGGGTTTATGTAATAAATGGCAAAAAAAAAAACGTCAAGCGTATTGAATATCCTACGACCTACGATCACGATCACCTGACTCTTAATTGTGATCTTAATTTCTGTGTATTAGAAATTTAAAAACTGCCGCGAATTTCAAACACCTGCGCCAATAGAGACATCGATACTCCTTCGATCTACTTACGCATTGTTTATACTTCCCGTACTGGATCACATAACCTATAATAGGCGTGGAAAAACGATTTGGTTATTCAAAAAAACAATAATAGCAATTGTTTGTATGCCCTACTTACGGTCCGTTACGAAAGTCTGATGTTTATGTAATGAATAGCAAAAAATGCGAGAATATCCTACGATTACGATCACGTGTCAATGATCTAGTTAAAAATTTTTAAAATACCGCGAATTTCGAACGTCTTCATAGACAGGAGCAATCGTCAACGTTCATAATCGATTAATCTCGATACTCGTACTCTTTCGATCTATTGGACGTTTCGAACGTTACCGTGCTGAATCGCATAACCTGTGGTACACGTGTTACAGCAATTATGATATCCGAAAAGGAATACCGGGTATTGCGTGTATATCTTAAATGCCGAGTTCTTGGATACGTTTTGAAGAAGAACGTCAGTTATATCAGGTCGTTTTAGAGAACTCTATCGCTGGCGATTACATGGGCTTATCTACCCTTTCCGCAGACCAGCTCGTCCTACTGTGTAAACTTAGTCTAACGAATAGCCTTCATAAAGATCGTGGAATTACTCGTGCGCGTGAAAACACGTATTCCAACCTCGCGTAAATGAAGCCAGACATATTTCTATGTATACCTACCTCAAATTCTAATGTAGTTAATTATGTCTAATGTAGTTAATAAGAACAGCTTTCTTTTTATAAACGCCAACAGTTTACTGTTTGACTATTTATTTTTATACTAAAAATAAGTTTAGTTGAAAAAGACGTAATTGAAAGCCGATCGTCGATATACAAGTGCAAAGGGTTAGGCAGAGATAAAGACGGAAAACATTACCGCAGCCATTGAAATTTAAGCGTAGACGTAGGTTAATTAACAAATCGATAGTTAGTCTCGAACATCGAGTTAATCGGGTGAAGGAACCCTTTACCTATTAGCTATATACGCGCGATAGAAAAGAGCCCTCGTGGTTGCACGAATTACACTCGTACGATTAATACAACCACAGCGACAAACATTTCGACTCCCGGCCGAAAGCATGACCGCGATATTATTTCTGACGGAGCGTATTGTAATTCGGGAGGGGAAGATTGGACGAAAAAGAAGAAAAAGAAGAAAAAGAAGGAAAAGGCTTCGGTAGTCCCAGGCGACTACCGCATAAGAGCGGGAATGACATCTGTTAGAACAGCTTCCGAGAGGCCTGCGCAACGCTCGTAAACGAATTCCAAATAAAATGCTTGAGAATCGAGCTGCTAGAAATTCGCTATTTCTGTGCCGTTTCAAATTTCTGTCTCCCCGACTTACATCTCGAAAGTATTCTTTTCTAATAATTAAACAATTCGAAAACGAATTTAAATTTAAACGATTCGGTATACCGTACAGAATTGAAAGATACTATCCCGATACAATTATCTCGCGGATCATAATTAGCGCTTCAAAGGGGAAGTCAGATCGTTATCGCGGTATCTTAGCCGTCTAATAATTAGAATGAAAATAATTGCTACAGCTACAAGTACTCGATATCTTGCCACTTATTGGGAACGTAAGAGATAACATCTGATCTAGAAAGGGTGCGACGCCTTTGATTTTACGAACTGATCGTCCCATTCAAACGTGCTCTAATGAGATCCGATACAAAAGGATAAACAATGACTGAGACTGATTCAAATGAACGGATTCCAAGAGCATCCCCTTGAACGGCACGGAACCAAATCGATAACCTATTCAAGAAGGGCACTGCCTCTCTCTATCTCCCTCTCTCGCCCTTACCTTAAGCACAACGTTGGATCCTCGTCATCGGTTTAAAAAAAACTCCTAGTTTTTTAGACAATGTTTCCTTAACGACTTCGATGCGAACACATTTATATTGGAGATGAAGATAGGCCGGTTCCGTTCAGGCGTATCCAGTTGATCTTTCAGAAAACTACAGGAACAAACGTTCCATCTATTGAACTGAACACCCGTTGGATAGAATGTTTTAGTGCTTGATGAAATCGTGAAATATGAATTATAAATATAGTTTCGTCTAACGAATTATAGAGTTTGCACGATCATACTGGTTTACACACGACTACCGCACCACTTTGAGAGAGCACCTTCGCGGATCGACTGCCAACTATGTTCGTAGAGATCACCGTCGCCTTGCTCAAGGAATGAAAGCGATCGACTCTCCAGCAACAGCCAGCGACAACTGGCGACGGGAGGTAACGACCCCTACGCGCACCCTCATCGACTGGTAACCGTCATGATAGAAAAGCGGAACGCCGGAACGCCCATCGCATCTGTCAGAGTTTCTCAAACTAAAATTCAATAATTCAACAAATTTCATTCGGAAATCTCGAACTTCTAAACTTCTAAACTTTCAATGTTTCGAAGTTCTGAAGTTCTACAGTGAAAAATTCCAAATCCTCAGGTTCCAGAATTCGAAAATTCCAAAGTTCCGAAATCTCGAAAAGTAAAAATTCTAAAGCACCAGCAAATTTCAGTGCATCAGAATCCGTACGTTGAGAATCTCTGGGTGTAGGTGGTGGTTGAAAACTTGAAATATTCCCGCCTTTCTTTCGTATGCGAAACAGTCGGAAATAGAAAACATAAAATGACACGCTAAGAGCAGCGTTTCATTTAAATTGTGGTTTTATTCAACTTTCATATATCTATATAATCACATGTTTTCATTATTTTATTTTGTATCACGTGCACTCCTTCACAGCTGGATTTAATGTCATTAAAGCTTCTTGCATATTTTTTCGTTCCGTTTCGGTTCTCAAGGTATACCATATTTGTTCTAATTTCTGTTGTTGATATTTCTGAAAGAGTCGCGTGTAATTTATAGTTATATTTCTAGTGTTAATCATGTGTCATTTACTTACTTTGATGAAAAGAAAACAATGTTTTAACGTTGCACCAACATAAAGTATCTTTACCGATACTAAACGTCCCGCGATATCATTTATGATTGGAATAGTTTTTAATAGAAACTTGTGTGGACCGTGTCTGCTTTTTACCAAAGCAATTTTTGTGTGTATATTGCAATATTTTGCTAAAAAATTACAGAATAATACACTTTTATTTTCATATCAGTTTGCTGCAATTTTAACATGTAAATTTTATTCTACCAGTGAAACCAGCTTTCATCGCTGCGGCACCAAAATCGCCGTACAATTGTGATACTTTTTGTTGAATAGCAACGTGCAAAGCCATAAGTTTTAGCGGGAAAGGCTTATCAGATTTATCGGCGGGAGTTATCTCAAATGTTATATATCTACAAGAATACTTTAAATTAATGTTATATGAATTGTAACTTTTTTAAATAAATAATCTCTTATTTGTTTGATAGATGTATGAAAACGTGTACGATTCATTTTATTACCTATTCTTAAAGCGAACCATGTTTTAGGTTATGTAAGACACGAGAATACAAAGTTCCCCGAAGAATGTCACCTGGGAATGAAACAGCTATTAATTACACAAATGAAATGTCACTATATTTTTTTTAATCACGTATTACACATAAATTATACATTTCAATGACTATATATCACGCAAAACATGACCACGTGCACTAACATTCGATTATCCGATACACATGGTTCAGCTAGGTTGCTGTCAAATACAGTCACGCACGTGCGTGTAATGCGTATCATAATTTCATCATTGTTTTGCAACAATGATAATATTATCATTTTATTTTAAATACAATAAGAACGTTTTAATAACTTGTTCATTTTGTTTCGATATATTTTTCAAAAGATTTACGAAATTTTGTAAAAGAAAAGACGTGTAGTCTGCAGAACGGTATGATGTAATTAATCAAGGTAACGCACTTAGAATTTTTTATGCACACGTGTTTCCTTACACGGCTCTACGTGTTACTCTTCTTACGTAATGCAAACATATTTCGTTTTTAAAGTTAGTTCTATTGATTTAACGTTTCTACATAGTGCATAACGTATTACCCATTTTGAAATTCGATCAATTGTTTAAAAAAGAAATATCGTTAACAATTATTTTCATTTAGGAAATAGAATTAGGGGAGCTATGCAGCAATAAGTTGTTACTAGCTCACTGTTTCTTGTTGCTGCAAGAGTTATCTCAGGGTCATATGATATTAAAAAAATAAGCTTATGATTAGAGTAAAGACTCACTGATAACAGTTATATACTCTTGTCTGCAGCTCATAATGATTCTATTCCAAGTACAGTGTTCAGTCAATTTCTCTTGACAAAAGATATAAAATTTACGGAACAGTGTCAAGAAATAGAACATGGATTATTTTGTGGGTGTAGACGTTGGAACAGGAAGCGCTCGTGCTGCTCTGGTATCTTCTAAGGGGAAGATTGTGAAATTAGCAACATGTCCCCTGGAAATTTTCCATCCTGCTCCAAATTTCTATGAACAGTCTTCTGATAATATTTGGAGTGCTGTCTGCCATGTAGTAAAGGTAATAATTTCAAAAAAATCCATTGTAAGAAGGATGAAATAACAGTATATAAAAAATACTTCTATTTACAGTCAGTTGTAGCTGATATTTCTGCGGATAATGTAAAGGGAATTGGTTTTGATGCTACTTGTTCGATGGTAGCGATAGATAAAACAGGATCACCAGTTACAGTGAGTCCAACAGGTACATGTACGGAACAGAATGGATACTATCGTTATATCAAAATGAAAGATTTATATGTTATTCTGATTTGTTTTATAGGTGAAGATAAACAGAATGTTATATTATGGATGGACCACAGAGCACAGGAGGAAGCTGATTTTATAAATGCACAAGGTCATGAAATGCTTGAATATGTGGGAGGAAAGGTATCACTGGAAATGCAAACTCCTAAAATGTTATGGCTCAAAAAGAATTTACCTTCATCTTGGAATCGTGCCACACTGCTTTTTGATCTTCCCGATTTCTTAACATGGAAGGCAACAGATTCTGAATCTAGGTAGTTGTGTAATTATAGGGTAACAAAAAGTTTGTACGCTATGATAAATTATTTTCATCCTGTTTCAGATCTTTATGCTCTTTGGTCTGCAAGTGGAACTACAGTGCTGGTCCAGATGGTAATAACAAATGGAAAGAAGATTTCTTTGAACAAATTCACTTGAAAGATCTGAAAAAAGATAACTGGAGGAAAATAGGTATTAATAATGATTTTACAGATTAGTCAAAATTATTTTCCCGTAGGTAAACCTTGCATTGATTAACATTCGCGAATCGATTAACATTTCGTTTGCATGATGTAGGTTTTGCGTTAACAAGTTAACAAATTTCTTTTATGTTCAGACAGATAATATGAAAGTATTACTTTATTTTAACAAAGAGAACTATTGATACGAAGGTAATGATGTCAGGACACCCGGTGATCCGGTTGACCATGGTTTGTCGGCAAAAGCTGCTTCTGAATTGGGACTCCTAAAAGGAACAGCCGTGGGTACATCCCTTATTGATGCGCACGCTGGAGGACTTGGTATGATAGGCTGTTCTGTTCCTGGTGTACCGGTCAATTTACAAACCAGACTGGGTATACGCAATTTTCTTCCTTTTTACCCGCTTATTTCCATCAAACCCCTTGATTCGTTTTTTAATCATATGGTATTTCATATGTAATTCACAGCATTAATTTGTGGCACATCAACTTGTCACATGATAGTGAATGAGAAGAAACTGTTTGTCAATGGTGTTTGGGGCCCATATTTCAGTGCTATGATTCCAGGATTATGGTTAAACGAAGGGGGACAAAGTGCGACTGGAAAGTTGCTTGATCACATCATTGATACCCACCCTGCAACACCAGGGATCTTGAAAAGTTTAAGTGGAAATAAGTAAGTTCATTTAGAGAAGTATCAAATGAGAAGAAAAATATCTGAACATTGTTTTCAGGCACATACAACAGTATTTATCGGAATTGTTACAAACGATGGCAGATCAAAGAAATTTGAAAAATGTTTCTTATTTAACGAAAGACCTTCATGTTTGGCCTGATTTTCACGGAAATCGTTCCCCACTAGCTGATCCAGCTCTTAAAGGAATGGTAACAAGATTAAAGATTTGTTATATTTAATGCACATAATTTTATTGCCATGTATCTATAATCGAATGTTGTGTAGATATCGGGCTTATCTTTGTCTGTTGATCAAGAAAATTTGGCACTGTTATATTTGGCAACTGTACAAGCATTAACGGTATGAATAGTTTCGTCATTTGAATCTTTACCATTTTTTATCCGGTAATAACAAAAAGCATTTAATGTTTTATCACAGTATGGTACGAAGTACATCCTGGAAACACTAGAAACCGCTGGCCATAAAATAGAAACCTTACTAGTTTGTGGAGGTCTAAGCCAGAATCCGTTATTCACTCAAATACAAGCCGACGTGTTAGGTTTACCTGTACTGTGCCCCGTTGAGAAGGAATCAGTATTGATAGGAGCTGCAATCTTAGGATCCTATGCAGCTAGAAAATTCAACACTATGCATGATGCTATTAAAACAATGGGAGGATCTGCAAATATTGTAAAACCTAAAAATGAATGCTACAAGTAAGCTATGAATTGATCAAGATAAAATTTATTATTCGTAAAATGTAAAATATACGTATGACATAAATCCTTCTTTTAAGGTACCATCATCAGAAATATCGAGTTTTTCGAAGAATGGTGCAAGATCAGAAAGATTACAAAGAAATTATGAATACCTCAGACGTAATACTAACAAAGGAGTAAAATGATCAGGGAAGTCGCGTGCAGAATCTCACAGTGAACAATCTGATGCAAAGAGATGTGATACGTCTTACATAACTTTTTTTTATTCAACGTTTTATGTACACAATCATTGAACGATATTTTATTATGTACTTTTTTTTATCTTTATTTATGTAAATAAAGATACATATGAAAATATCAATATAATGTTTTTAATCTATTATGAATTATTCTAATAAGGTGAGTTAAATTCTACCAATTTGGTATTTAAATGTCAATCTTTTAACTAATACATGAATCGTAATTCTTTATAGTTTGGTATAAAATGTATTTTACTTATATGTTTTATATTGTAATTATTTAACAGTACGTGTATAAACATGAAATTATAACAATATTGCTATATACGATTAATAATTATAAAAATATTAAAAATTCCTTAGTTAATTATATATTTAATGAAAAATTTGTGTTTCTCAATAGCGTTACGTAATGTCATAAAAACGGTATTATCAACTACCTTGGGAATAAAAAATACGTACCGCACACGAATATAATTTCAATATACTTATAACATAGAGATTATTTTCTTATCTCCTCAACTTCTAATATACCATTTTTACTAAAAATGGTATGAAGTAACGTAATTATCACATTGTTCGCAAAAACTTCTCAAAAAATTTTACAACCTTCATAGTTCATTCTGTCCGTTGATATGATTCGAGAAACGAACAAAATTAACGTTTTTATATCACAAAGTCGGTTTTATCACAAGCTGACAACTGCAATATTCAACGTCACTGGATCCAGTGAATTTCAGCTGAAGTTAGGAAAACCGACTGACGACTTGAACAAGTTAATAAACGTGTACTTATATTAAAACATAATCGATTCACAGTATATTATTTAGAGTAATACTGTTATAAACCTTTGGGTAAAATTCAAGTTCAGCATTGAATGTTACAGCTGTTACAAGTGTTAATAGTACAACGTAAATTGAAAATTTAATTCTACTTTAAATATTGGTACTAATTGCACCTGGTATTATGTACTTCTGTTTAAACTAGTTCCGTTCCTACAATTTTTTGAATGGGTAACATTTCAAGTAGATAAAAAACTCATAATCAGTATCATCAAAACATTCTGAGTATTAACGTCATGACAAACGTTATAATCTGTTTCGTTGCATCAGTAACTTGGTATTACATCAAGATCACCATCAGTCTTTCATTAACTAGTTTTTCAATTAAAATTTATATAAAAATGAGAAATCTAAAGGGAACAATATCTTTCAAAGTACTTTAACAGATTGAAGTTTATCTTGTATAAATGTTAGAACTCTAACTAATTAACGATCATTATAAACATTTAACTTCAGAAATGATTTACATTCTGATATTTGGAAGACACAAAATGCGTGTTTCAATAAAACGTGATATCGTTTATATGAAAATATTTCCTATAGTATTTATACTTTGCTTATAAGTAATTCATTCTTTTTTAAACTTTAATAAGGCCATTTGTGCAACTTGTGCAATTAGGATGTTAAAGATTATCGATATGGCTGGTAAATAACATCCTATCCTATAAAATATCAATTCATTTAAAGATAATGCCTTATAAAGTTTTTGAAAAAAGTTATTCACTAGCATTTCATATTGCTTGTTAAGGTAGAAAAATACATCATAGTTAGTGAAAATATGACAATAAAACTGTTTAAACAAAGCGATAACATTCTGCAATGTGATTAAGCATGTACTGAAATGCCATGGAAGGAGATGTACCAAACCTCTGTCTCCATAAATGCTTTGATATTATACGTTGTCCCAAGCTATGGGTTGTCTCTTGAATTTCTTCGCAAATTTCAACACCGGTTTGCCAAATTGTTTCTGAACAAACAAGCAGGTCAATAAACAAGCGAAAGACTGTTAACAGAAAGACACGCTATACATACCTAGATTGTTAAGAAGTTTATTTTTTCCAGGTGGATCAAACTTTTGTAATTGTTCTACACTAATTACTTTATATTGCTTTAATTCTTGTAATGACTCGTAGCTACAACAACGAGCTCTGCTATTAGCCACGATATAACTGCCAGGTGCACTGTGTTTTGTGATTTCTTTTAAAGCTTCTTTAACCATGTCACATTTGCCATCATCTCCTTGCACTTTATCAACTTTTACCAGCTGCAACAGAATGTAACGTTAAGATTGAAAAAGATAAATTTGCAATGTTTCCATAACATACCTCCGGAAGTGCTTCGATCATATGTAACCACATACGAGTCGGTATAGTATTCGCTTCTGCTATACAAACTATTGTATGAGAATTATTATTACGCTTTTTAGCAGTAGTTATATCGGATGGATTCTCAGTCATGTAGCCATTAGGAAATTCATCCACAATTAATATTGCACTTTGACCTCCCAAAACCCAATCTTCTGGATGACTTGCTACATAATTTTCAGAAACTTCATCGCATCTTTCGTATACTTTCTTAACTACATGTTTCTTTATTTCTAAAAAGAATTATGGCAAAATTATTTGAGACAATTGGTATTATGAATTTATCAAAGATAAATGAAAAATATTAAAAAACCTAGGTAACTGGCAGTGAGTTCGCTGGGTATCATTTGACACCATCCTAATATCAGTTGAAGGCACATTTTCAGGTCGCATTTAACTCCGAAGAAAAAAGAATTTTCTCTAATAGATTGTTTCCTCATACAGCTAGGGCAAGACCAACTATATTTGTCTACAATTCTTGCTTGATTCCAAGCTAAACTTCTTCCTTTACATTCTGGGTGGGGGCAAGTAGAAACAGTCCTAATTAAACTCATTTCTTTTAACCATCCACATAATTCCCCCTCGTGTCCTTGTTGCAACATTGGACGTACAACAACATCAAAATATCCTCCTTGATCCCCAAAACGTTCCATGCATTGTCTATAATAATGTTTAAACAATAATGCTATAATAATTAAACATTACTATATTGTTAATATATTTCATGGTATTAATTTTGATAAAATCACATAATACTAAATAAAACAAAAATGATGATAGGCGATTGAGCATGAACATGAACTGTGAAGTCACAGTACCCTTTATGTGTGAGGGGAGTAGAAAAATCAATACTCTCCCAAGTTAAATATGTTTATTATGCTGTTTATCGCAAGAAAATATCGAGGGTATTTCAACCGTTTAAACAGTAGACATCGCTTTTTTCGTCAAAAGAATAAAGATATATTGAAATTACTAAAGATAGATAAACATTAAAGACCTTTTTCAGTCATAAAAGCAACAAGTACCTACAATCAAATGAAATCCATTTAAGTAAGGTATCAATTACCTTGCTTTAACTTTCGCGTTTTTCATCTTTCACCCCGTTTCACCGACGCTCGACAACTTTAGGGATATAAACAAAAGCCTACAACATTTTTAAACAAACTAAAATGTAAACAAAAATAAGGAAATCAACAAGGAACCAGAAAAAATCACGGAACAACTTCTACGTTACGTAGCCATCGCAAGCGACTTGCACACTCTGAACGTGTACTAATCGCGTCGTGATACATTTTTTGCTCCGTCGATAAAACAGAATCCAATTGAATTTGAAATCTACAGATTTACGAAATTGCCAATTTTAAAAGTAAAAGGCTTAATTATTCGCTTAATTGTTCGAAATAAAGAAATAATTTTCGATGAAATATCTTGTATTTTTTCTTTTTTTTATTATGAACATGTTTTACAAAGCAAAATTGTGTAATGGTGGAAATGGTGGATGTCGGTGGAGGCTGAAAAACTACAGAATCAGTGTTGGTGGGGTTTCAACAAGATCTCTGGAAGAGTGAGTGCGGATTAAAGGGGCATCGGCACAGTAATATAAAAAGTACTCTTCAAGAAATAGCATGAGGATTAGGCCGGCACATTCATTCAGCATATTTTTAAATACACACAAATATACTGCACTTTCGTATGTATGCATTTGAAATAATCAACGTACACAATGTAAGTGTTTTAAAACATCATTTTACTCCACCTGATTGTTAAATCCATTACTCAATCTATGCTTGTCAAAAATTCTAGTTTTAATGAAAACCAATCGATTTTTGTACACTTATGTCACAATTGTACCTGTACTCGATACGATACACTTCCGACATTAAAATAAACGTTTTTTTCACGCCTGCACATAATTTGCTACCTTCGCTGTAATGCAAACAAAATTATATCTAAACTTAAACTGCAACATTATCGTCGATTAAAATTCCGTAAAATAAGCTTAAATAAAATTCGAATTTGAATGATCGCGTTGTTATAAAAAGTTTATTAGTAACGAAGGTAACAGAAAAAGCCGCCTAAATATTAGTAACGTTCTTTAATTTATACAAGCAGTCTCGGAAACGTGATAGCGCAGTGATGGGCAGATTGATTGCCCGCTCATCACCGTGATAGCCTATCGAAAACTTAATTATATTTGAATGTCGCTACGTCATACGTGTCGGTACAACGAGAAGAAATGATACACAGAAATCGGTATGAATGATAAAATTTAGTTCTCGCGTTAATGACCGATGAAAATCTCAATTGTTCGGGACTCGAGATTAGCGAACACGCGAGTTCACTTTTACGAATAGTAGTGATTCCGGTGATGTCACTGAACTCTATTCAATATTTACAAATGAGATCGATATTAAAAGTAATGAGCAATTAATTTGTTCCGTTCATTTTTCTTTTTGTTTTGTTTCGTTTTTTCCTCGTTTCGATACATTACATAATAATATGTATATCTTCGTAGTGCGTGCATAGGAAGGCGCAGTCCAATGATTTCACAACGTAAAGATTCAGTCATACCACACCCTGCAGAGCCGACGAAAACGTGAACATGTTAGAATACGGTATTATTTTTTTCTTTCACCTACAGTAATGGCGACTGGCAGATAAACAGACAGTTTGGCAGGCATGGTGAACATAAAATCAAACACGTACACGCGGACACAATGAATTCAACCTTTTCCATCTTTCCTTATTTTCTTTCTTTCCGTCTTACACGCGTCCACACATACATCACACACATGCTCAGGCGGCATATACGCTCTTTCTTCCCGTCTCGGTACACCGTCGTTACTCTTACGTATCCTTATGTTCTATAATCCATGAGGTCCTATAATATTGTAACATAGGCTTTAGTATGCTATATCGTAAGCTATACTAAAAACTACCACCGCGCCGCCTACCATGCGACGCAGCCATCTTAATCGTTAATATTAGGAATATCGGCAGTGAAATTCCAATGATAGACGCGGTAGGCAGGCAGTCAGTCCAGCAAAGTCTGTGGCACTTGCGCTGCTCCGGTGCAATAACGGATTTAAAAAACTTGGATCTCGACCGGGGTGCCCCGCGCGTTAATTTTTACCATGTATCGTTTCGACATTCCGCGAGAAAATGTCTTACCAAGATAATGAATTAAAATTAGGGGGGCACCCCATTGTTCGAACAAAACGATTCTCCATATTTATTTCCACCATGGCACCTTCGTCATCATATTCACCATCGCTTATTAACATCGTTTCCTTTTTTTTTTTCTCCTTTTTTTTCTCTTTTCTTTTTCTTTTTATTCTTTTAGTTTCTTATACTCTACCCGTTTGTTTGTTAGTTTTTTTAATCTTTCTTTCTTACGTTTTTTTTATCGGTTTACTTTTCTTCTCTTGTTCCGTCGTTTTCTTTTTTTCTTTTTGCTTTTCTTTGAAAAATAATTTCTTTACAATACTTCTTCGTGTGATCGATCCGCGACACCGCGGATCACCGGTGTCATCGTTCGCACGACGACCAATCGATCGGAAAGAACTTAAAACAGTGTCGAATTGTCCGAAACATAAAAAGTTACTAAGATTACAAATCACAAATGAAATCACAGACTTTCGTTGGTGGTTTGACAGAGGGGAGGGGAGCCGCACATTGCAATTAGAACAACATTGTAGGCGTAAATGTTATCAGGAAATGTTCGATGGGCGCTGTTGTAGCGGGGACGTATTAGTTGTTGTTCCCCTCAACCGTTTATTCCCATCCATTTTCCTTGATCATGTGAGCAAGCTCGATGATAAACTTGCCCTCTTTATACTTCTGACTCGACTCGAACGCATGCTCCTGAAATTATCATAATGCAATATAATATATATACACGCCATACGATAACTAACAAACACCCGGCGCACGAGCATAAAGTACTATGTTAACTGTCCAAGATTTTCTGATTTTCCAACTATGTAACATGTTAACCCTTCGCGCTCGAGAGGCGACTCACAGTCCCCATTATATTTAACAGAATAATTTTAAATAAGCATTTTTTAACTGATTCTATAACATGACAGGTGTGATCAAACACAGCGAAACAGACAATAGTGGAAATTATTAGTAAAGAAACGATAACCCGAAGAAATGATCTTTTTGGTCAGTAAATGCAGTACTAAATGCTCGAGTGCCTATCAAAGTTTAAAATCCAAACGAAGCTTAAAATTGAAAAATCCTGAATGTTCAAACTCCTGAAAAATTGATAGAAAGGTTGAGATTGGTTACTGCTGATGACAGAACCTTGTAGTAATACTAGATATACCGAATAGATATAACTTACGTATTTCCACCCAAGGGTGGTCTTGCAACATTCGCAGTAAATATCAGCAACAGCATGAAGGCCAGTCAAGAGAACTCGCTCCTCTGCAGGACCACAGCCCACGTTCACCCTAAAATAACAAAACGAATGATGTTCGTTGCAGTGCGGCTATTTAGATAAACGCTTTATCGTAACCAAAGCGGAGACGCAGACGGAGATGGGGAGAGAGGGTACCAGAAGTATTAGTTCCCCGAGTAAAATAAACGCGTCCTACTTTCCGTTCACGATTCGATCTGGTCTCTCCAAAGGCATTAGCATACTTACACGGAATTAAAGAGATAGGCACGACCTTGACTGCCCTGGAAGGACTGCAATCAAAAGAAGAGAAAAAGAAGCCGGTTACAACGGTGTCAACGTGTTGAAAGAACAGCGCCGTCTGTACATGCGACGTGTTAGAAGTAAATGCGAGAAGTCTGTCCGTTACCTGATCTAGCACGGCTCACCTTAGAGATGAGTTCGTCGTGGTTGGCGAGGTGAGCACGGCAGTGAATGCACGAGTAAGTGCGGTGACACGAGGGCAGGTACGCTTGAAAAGTTTTGACCATGATGGCGTGTCCAAACAAGCAAAAGATACTTTCGCCCTTGTCGCGGTTAGTCGGTTCTCTCACTCTCTCTCTCTCTCGTCCCTCTATTCGCTGGCTTTCTCCTTTTATCAAGTGTCGAGCTTCTTTTCTTCTACGTGGAATTGTCTGGCCGTTAACCAGCAACGATTAGCGTATCGAATTTCTGCTTCTTCCAGTCGCGGGGTGGTTGGTGCAAAAGTGGCCCCGTTCACCGCCGCTTCGTACTCCGATCAGCTGTTGAGCTGGTTCAGACAGCGCCGGTTCGGGGACACCTGTGAAGCCGATAACGTTTCTCTCAATCCATCTATCGTTCTTCTCGTTATAATTCTGTTGTGCAACTTCAAATTGCACGCGTTTAGAACGCCTGCCTACGATGACGACACGCACGCCTTTGCGCCGCGTGTATCGCCAGGGACGCCGCGTGTAGCTGTGGAAATTGTTCGCCGTAAAAGGCCGGCCTTTTCATTCGTTACGATTATTATTATTATCGTGTCATTTTAACAATTATACCGTACATACTCATATACTTTCACTTTGTCCCTAGTTCTTACCCCCTACCAAAGCCTTCCTTGCGAAAGCTCAACAACTGTTCTTTCAAGTACAACTTAGGCTTACTTCAAGTAGTTACGCAAAACTTTTTCAACCTTGAATTCAAGCATCTGTCTTCAAACTTAAATTTATCGTCCTCCCAAAGCTAAATAATGATATAATTTGTTAAAAAAAAACTTGTTTATCGTTCTTCAATCTGGCAGATAAATAGCTGGGAATAAATAGTGGTAATAAAAACTCCTACTTAAGCGTTAAGTGTATCAGATATTAAACAGCGTTCTCCAAGAATGGCGTCGAATCCGCTAGCGAATCTTCTCGAGCAAATAACGATGTCAAAGAGGAGTTGTTCGAATAAGATCGTTTTCATAGGAACATACGAAACGCGTTCAACGAGAGGAAATTTGCTTTCCCAAATATTTAGACGATTCTCCTCTACCCGTGATTCGACTCTCACGGATGATATCCAATCCGGCAAAGCGCGGGAAACAGGCTCCGCTGCATACAACAGAAAAGGACTAAAATTATATTCGGCGATGGATCAAAAATAAAACAAACATTGGCTCCTGCGCGTTCTCTGTGGAATCCGTTCACACTGTTTTACCCGCTATCGCGTATCTTCGTTCCGCAACTATCAGTTCCGAGTTATTTATAACGGCCTGTTAAATAACGCGCGCTCGCTACTCGCCGCGT